AAAAAAAAAAAAAAAAAAAGAAAGACAGCAAGGAAGAAGAAGGTGAAGGTAGGAGAGGAAAGAGACAAGGGCGGTGAAGGAGAAGGTGCCGGCAGCCATAGCCGAGGTGGAGAGTTGACCGGACGTTGACCGGGGTGTTGACTGGGGTCTTGCTGCGTTGACCAAGCGTTGACCGGACAGTTGACCGCCGCCGTTGACCAAGACTTTGACCAAGCTGGAGTTGGTAACATCTCGCCAAGCCCTTAGCCTACCCCCTCACCCTGTGGATGCGCACTCACCCTACGGTACTTGCTGAGTCTGAGTCTGTCTGTCTCCTCTTTCTGCATCGAGTCTCTCCTGTCCTAAGTGATAGTACTCTGTGCATGAAGGATAGGTCTGGATGACGAAACCTTAGTCTGACCTTGTAGGGCTGAGGCTGTGGCTGATCCAACTTTCCAGGGCGGCCTAACCCTCCCAAGGACCGGTGCTGACCGGCTGGAAACGGTTGGTAGGACTCAGTGGGCCTGAACGACAGCTAAGGCTGACACACCAGGCAGTCTTTAAGTGTTGAGGGCCTGTTTGAACCACTCCCCTACCAGACCTAGTAAGGCTGATGATCTGTGTCTGACGACTCGACTGTCCTGGGGGATACGAACCCTCCCAAGGACCGGTACAGACCGGCGGGCTGCTCGGTGTGGCACAGTAGGCCGGAAAGGCTGAGTTGTGGGCTGAAAGCACAGGCAAGAACCAAGCTGATCACGTTGTCCTGTCTGCGACATTAAAGAATTCTTGCGGAGTTAGGGGGATCTCGTTAAATGCCTCCAGATCAGCAATTGGTTCAGTAGTGACAGCTTTAGAGTAGGTCTAGGCTAGCGACCATAGCTGACAGGGTTCTACCCTGTGGTCCTTAGAGAGTCAGTTAGTCAATGGGTCAGTGTCCGGGTAGGTCCAAGTGGTGAGGAGTGGGAATGTTGTCGTGTACCTGGCACCACTATGGACGACTATCCGATGTATGGGTTGCTCGTTGGGTTCTCCCTTTGGGGGACCCTTTGGCGTCTCCTCTTTCCTCTGGGCTTTTGGCCCACTTTCACGTGTAGAGTAGCAACCCGGGGTGGCACTTCCACCCAACCTTACACGAAGGAGGAGGAGGAGAAGATGGCCACCATCCTGCAGGAGAGAAAGGAGAAGAAGGAGGCCAAGAAGAAGGCCCAGCAGGAGGAGCAGGCGGCAAAGTTGAAAAAGATAGAGGAGGAGATGGCCAAAGAAAAAGAGAGGTTGAAGAAGGAAGAAGAGGAGAAGTTGAAGGAGGTGGAAGAGGAAGAAGAAGATGAACCACCACTGCAAAGGAGGAGAGGGCAGCAAAGTGGCAGCAAGGATGGACAGATGGAGAAACGGATTTCGGAGTGGGTCGCCAACTTATCCCTAGGCGAAGAAGAAGAGGTAACTATGTACATCCCCAAGGATGAGCAGGAAGCCGCTATGAAAAAATGGGAAGCAGAAGAAGATGTTCTGAAGCGGCAGGCGATGGAAGATGAAACGAGGATGGAGTGGAAACTCGCAATGATGAGGGAGAAGAAGAGAAAAGTGGAGGCGGCGAGTGCAACAATGCAGGAATTAGCGGAGGTACGGACTTTAACTACACAGTTGACCCCCCAGGTAGACCTCCAACGAAAGGTGGAGATCATCGCCCAGAGCGTCGAGCGTTTAGCCAGAGTACAAGAACAAGAATATGAGTTTAGCCGAAGTCAGGATATAGCTGTGCGTTCGATGCGGATGGGATTCCGGGACTTTGCCCGTGAATTGGTAAGCGCTGTGGGAGCCGAGGTGAATCATCGCCTCGAGAAGACCGAGCGTTTTTGTGTCGGCGCCATTGAAGGCGTCAAGGTGGCAGCTCTTAAGGAGGACGAGCCGCGTCCTCGTAGGGAGCCAGTCAAAGTCAAGTTCCCTGATTCCTACAGTGGAAAGAGGGAAGAAAACTTTGACAACTGGGAGGCCAACGTCAAGACCTATGTGCATCTGCAACAGGTCTCCCCAGATCAGCACATGTTGATTGCGATTCATGCGCTTAGAGATGAAGCCGCCAGTTTCGTGAGGTCCCTCGTCCGCGCTGCCAACTGCAATGAAGATGCAGTGGCGTATTCCACATTCACCCCCCTCGTTGAGTTTATGAAATTGTTGCGCGAGCGGTTCGCTGATGTTGCTCGCAGTGTTAAAGCCTCTGATAGACTGCAAACTATCCATTCCCGTCAGTGGAAGAGCGCGGGGGCACTCAAAAGCACCATTGATGAGTTAGTGGTTGTTCCTGACCATGGGGTCACAAAGCCCCAATTGGTCAACCTCTTCTACCGAGCTATGCTCGAAACGTTTAGAGGGCACTTCTTCGCGAGGAGCCAAGACCCTGCTATGACGTATGATGCGCTTAGCAGGGAAGTGGTGGCGTTTGAGGCAAAGTCTGTGTCAGTTTCCACCTTCTGGCACAAAGATTTAGACAAGGGAAAGAAGTGGAAGGGTCGCACTATCTCAAGGCAAGTTAAGACTAAGGATAGTCTTGTCCTGACCTTAGATGAAGGTAGTGTCGACGAGATCCCCTACGAACAAATTGAGTGGGGGTTAGAGGAGGAGGACAGCGGCGTGAGCCAGGGGAGATTTTACGTTGCTGTCGCGGCTGGAGGGAGGCCGCAAGGAGGAGGACGAGGCCAGGGCCAAGGGGGCCGGGCCTCAGGGAGCCGGGTTCAGGGCGATCAGGGGGTTGGCGGCAGAGGAGGAAGCCGCCAAGCGGGAGGAAGGGGTCAAGGTCCCCTGCAAAACCGTCCTAGGAATAGGTCTCCCTATAGGGTAGGTGGATGGCACCCAGGGCTACCCCAGGGTAGGCCTTGGGAAAATCTGGGTCTGGACCAGAGCTTATGGCAACAGCGTCTGGACCGGGGCCAGTGCATTTTCTGCGGTGACCCGGGCCATATCATCAAATATTGTCCTAAGTATAGAGAGACTCGGACGGCTGCTCAAGGGCCAAACGGCAGCCGCCGGTAGGGGTAGCAACTGCCCCTACCATTAGTCCATGTGGGGAACGTAGCGCTAGCCGGCAGGAGACTCCCACACCACATGTGCCTATGGCRGAGGTTGCAGGCCGGTGTCTAGACAGCTGTCCGGAGACTGCTTGTGTTAGAGTCTCTCTAGACACCTCCCTCACAGGCGTGGCCGAAGAATTGAAGGAAAGGATGCCCGCCTGGGCCAGGATGAAGAAAGAACAGAAAGGACAGCTAATACTGGTAGATGTAGAGATTTTTAGAAGTAGGGTAGGGTCCCTAGTAGATTCAAGGGCTACCCGCAACTATATTAGTAGAAAAGCGCTGCAGAAGTTGAAGTTGGGACTTAAAGTTCAAAAGCTAGCAGACCCTATAGTCAGTATCCTCGCAGACAATCGTACAATGGTTGTAGAGGATTATGTAGAGGGAGTCCAGGCGTATTTCCGCCTAGAGAAAGATGAGAAAGTGGAGAAGGTCCTCCACTCCCTCAGTCTCCTTGTAGAAGACAACCTCCCATTTGATATTGTCCTGGGGATGGATTGGGGAGAGGCAGCCGGGGCCACACTCCGTTTAAAGGAGCACGAGTGTTGGCTCCCTAGTCCTTCAGGCGAGGCTAAGACTGCCYGCCTGTTCCATGTGTCCGGAGTAGAGAACCCCCTGGCACATTGCTGCCTTAGTGCACCTGCATTCGCGAGGCTCGTGAAGAAGGAGCACCTAGAAGAACAAGTTTTTGTAGCCTATGTAAGGCCAGTAACTGAGCCTAAGGAAGAGAAGCATATAGACCCTACGATTGCTAAGCTGCTGGAGGAGTTCAAGGACCTAGCTGAGCCGCCGACAGGAGTAGTACCGCGGCCTATCCAACACCACATTGAGATAGAGTCTGGCAGTAGAACTCCCAAAGGAGCCGTGTATAGGATGTCCCCGCGGGAGTTAGAGGAGCTTCGCAAGCAATTAGACGAGCTCCTTGAGAAGGGTTGGATTAGGCCCAGCTCGTCTCCTTTTGGAGCGCCTGTTCTCTTTGTCCCCAAGAAAGAAGGAGAGTTGAGGATGTGTATAGACTATAGGGGTCTGAATGCTGTTACAGTGAAGAATGTTGAGCCACTGCCTAGGATAGACGATCTTTTAGATCGAGTGCAGGGGGCAAGTATTTCTCCAAGATAGATTTGAAGTCCGGATATCATCAGATAGAGGTGCATCCTGATGATCAGTATAAGACAGCCTTCCGGACCAGATATGGGCACTATGAGTTTATAGTGATGCCCTTTGGACTAACCAATGCGCCAGCTACGTTCCAGCGCTGTATGAACGATTTGTTTAGGCCATGGTTAGATAAATTTGTTGTTGTCTACTTAGATGATATCTTAGTGTTTAGCAAGACCCTCCAAGAACATCAGAGTCATCTCAGGCAGGTCTTGGAGAAGCTGAGAGAAGCTAACTTCAAGATCAATGCAAAGAAGTGCGATTGGGCGAAGACCCAAGTTTTATATTTAGGCCATGTCTTAGACGGAGACGACGTTAAGCCAGAAGATTGAAAAATCGCAGCGATTAGAGATTGGCCCACACCGCGTACGCTAACAGAGTTGCGGTCGTTCTTGGGCTTAGCTAACTACTATAGGAAGTTCGTAAGGAACTTCTCCACCATCGTTGCGCCCCTTCGCAGATTGCTGAGGAAAGAGACCATCTGGAAGTGGGATAAGGACTGCACGTCTGCCATGAAGAAGTTGACACAGACATTGATAGAGTACCCAGTCCTTAAGGTGGCCGATCCGTCCCTGCCCTTTGTCGTCACTACAGACGCCAGTCAGTACGACATAGGTGCCGTGTTGCAGCAAGACGATGGCAATGGTTATCGACCCGTAGAGTTCATGTCCGCCAGGATGCCTTCCGAGAAGGTCGCGACATCTACCTATGAAAGGGAACTCTACGCTCTCAGGCAAGCACTAGAACATTGGAAGCACTACTTGCTTGGGAGGCACTTTAAAGTCTATTCAGACCACGAGACGTTGAGATGGCTGAAGACGCAGGCCAAGATGACACCTAAGTTGACTAGGTGGGCCGCAGAGATAGATCAATATGACTTTGAGCTCAAGCCAGTCAAAGGAAAGTATAACGTAGTCGCGGAGGCTCTGAGTAGGAGGGCTGATTTCTTTGGGGCCATAGTCCATTATCTAGATATAGGGTCAGACCTACAACAAAAAGTTAAAGAGGCGTACGCGCAGGACCCCATCTATAGTGCGCTCCTTAAGAGAGTTAAGGAAGCCCCAGAGTCCGAGCCATATTACCGCACTACCGATGGGTTGTTGTTTGAGAAGACTAACGTGGTAGACCGTTTGTGCGTCCCCAACAGCGAAGAGATCCGGAGTCTGATCTTGGGGGAATGCCACGACACTGAAGGACACTTTGGTTGGCAGAAGACTTTAGCCAACTTGATGCACGCGTACACCTGGCCAAGAATGAAAAATGACTGCATAAAGTATGTCCGCAGTTGCAAAATCTGCCAGAGGAATAAGTCAACTACGCGTGCCCCTTTAGGTCTTCTTAGACCTTTACCTATTCCTGATCAGCCAGGAGATTCAGTGTCCATCGGCTTTATGGACACCGGCGTTAAGAGTAGGCATGGCAAGAGCGAAGTTATGGTTGTGGTAGACAAATTTAGTAAGTATGCTATTTTCGTTCCCTTGCCGTCAGAAGCCAGAACAAAATTAGTAATTCAAAAGTTCTTTGATCACTGGGTCAGTGAACATGGAGTTCCGCTGTCTATAATTAGCGATAGAGATACCCGGTTCACAAGTCTAAACTGGCAGGAATTAATGCGAGTCTACGGATCCAAGTTGTTGATGTCATCTGGCCGTCATCCAGAGACGAACGGTCAGACTGAACAAATGAACAAGGTCCTGCGACAAGTCCTGCGCATGTACATTACACCTGATCAAGTCAACTGGGATGAGATGCTTCCCAAGGTAGCCAGCGCATACAACAACAGCCTGCACCTGTCCACCTGCCGCACTCCCAACGAGCTCCATAAGTCCTTTAGGCCACGAAGACCATTTGAGGGACTGAACCAGGATCAGATTCACACGCTACCGCCCGGTACAAGGGAGTTTGCGATTCAGCACGAGAAGGAGATAGCAACGGTTGTTGAGAATCTCAGGAAGGCCCAGCACCGCATGCTCGAACAGGCCAACAAGCACCGTCGCCCTTTGCAGTTCCAAGTAGGCGACTTGGTCTGGGTCCAGTCTAAAGAGTTTGCGCCTGAAGAGAACATTTCGCAGAAGTTACTGCCTACATATAGCGGACCGTGGCCGGTTCTGGAAGTCAAGGGCGGCGAGGATGGACCGTCCTATACCATAGAAATCCCCGCACACCTCCACACTTACCCAGTTTTCCATGCATCGAAGTTGTTACCTTGTCAAACAAGTGATCAGTTTCCATCCCGTAGGTCTATGATCCCACCAGATATGGATGGAAGGTATGACATCGATGGCATAGTGGCTGAAGATGTATTCAGGATTGGAGGTAGAGGTCGTCCACAGAAACAGTACAAGGTTCATTTTGCTTATCAAGAGCCGGAAGACGACCGCTGGTTTACGAGATCTGAACTTCTAGAGACAGCTCCCGATGTAGTCCGGGCCTACGAGAGGCAACAGAAAGGTAAAGGTCCTGCCTTGGACTGAAATTTTCTCGGAGGACCTCGAATTTAGGCCGGCGGGAGTGAAACAGTATTCACCACTCCGCAGTAGCTGATGCAGATCCCAGGGCTCAATCCCTAGTCCCCCACCTTACCTGTGTACAGTAACTGTGTCAACCCGTAGATTTGAACCTGCGACCTGTAGAACCGCCAGTGGTAGGTAGGATCTCGTAGGTTACAGGGTATAGGGGATTCGAACTGTAGACCTGTCGGGTAGGAGTCTAGACAGTCCAGAGGTTGTAGCTGTAGACTGTCCGAAGGGTCAAAGTCGTAGCTGCTACTTACCCGAAAGGGCAGAGTCGTAGCTGCTACAATACCGAAAGGCCAGATAGAGGTTTCTAGAAGTGGCCTTTCGGAAGTCAGCCCACTGTAGGTCTAGGCAAGTGGGCAAGTGGTGGAAGTCCACCACGCAGAGTCAGCMGTCCCAGTCCAGCCAGTTGGGTCCAGTCAAGCAAGTACCGTCTGGGACTGTGTACACCRTGGGCCAGGGAAACAGGGCAGACCAACGCTTCACAGAAATATAAATCAAGAGGCTGCGCACAGCCATTCATTCATTCCTGCGGAAGCCATGCRGAAGCGCTGCCTCAGMGTCCTGTGCGAGGAGGTCTGCAGTGTGCCCGAAGTCGAAGTGGGCAGAGAAGCGTAGYGTAGCGATAGGGTAGTGGCAGCTAGCGCTGCCATAGCTATAGYAGTGTGTGTGTGTGTKTTGTGTGCGTGTACAGAGTGTCGTGTGTGGGATATCCAGKGTKATCCCGTGTGTGAACAGTGGATGTTGGGCGCTCAGTCGCCATAGCCAGTGGAAGTGAACTTACCTGGAAGCCATATCTCTGTGTACTGTGTGGGCRCATGTCGCCAGTTTGTTGTGCTGCTGTTCACGTGCATGAAAAGTGTGAAAGAGTCGAGTCTGATTGCACATGAAATGATGAAAGAACATAGATCAGATCCGCGAGCTGTGGTCCCACTAGCAATGGGCTAGTAAAGAAGAAATTTTGTGTGGCAGTAGAGCGACCCAAATCTGCCCTGCAATGACTTGCCATCCCACGGTCAGCGCTTTACACGTAGTAGCACGGTAGTACCTACAAAAGGAAAGAGATCATAGTTTCCCTCCTCCTCTCCTTAAACCACCAGTACTTCCTAACAAGCCACAATTTTAGGAAACGTACGGGCCACTACAGTAGCGCCCAAATTCATCTGACTAGAAATGTTTCTAGAACTTTCTAGTATCTACTCCATTTTCTTCTACGGCCGATAGCTGTGCCAAGTACTCACGGTTTAACACTGGGCATTCCAGTGCCAAGGGGAGCTTCCAGCCAAAATTTTCTCTATCTCATGCGGGGTTGACCCTGTACCCCAATTCCAGCTGCAAAGGGCGCTTCCCGCCAAAATTTGCTCCATCCTGTGGGGGGTTTGCCCTCTACCCCTACAAGGGCAGGGTTAAGCATACATGCCCCCATCGGATAGAAGATTTTCCAACTTTGTTGCAATTATCTCAAATCACAGAGTGTATGGAGGGCATCACGATTACCGCTGACAGAAGACTCTTTTGATTTTTTTTTTGTCGTTTGGAAAAGCGACAGTTTTTCTTTTTCACTGTTCTAGGGACTTCTGCCATCAGATCATTTGTGATCTGATGGCTGGGAAGCACAGCTCCTTGATTTATTATTATTATTATTATTATTATTCCCAGCTCCTTGATTTCAGGGCATGAAGTCTCTATTTCTTCTTTTTCCCGGTGTCTTTCTCATGTTTTTTAAACTTTTTTTCCGCCCAAAGGTTTGTAATGAACCTTGTTGTGCCCCTGCAACACAGGGGCACACTGTCGCCCCCCCCTCTCCCCCCCCACAAAAAAAAACAAAAACAAAAAAAAAACTGTGTCAGGGCATACTCACACCATTGTGAGGGTTTATGCCTCCACATAGGGCCCTGCAGCAGGCGCGTGCCCGCCCGAAGTGAAGGCGGGCCCCCTGAATCTCAAAGTGCCCTGAACTCGTCAATTTTTGCAAATCTTGGTCGGCGCCAGACAGTTGCCACGCGCCAATTGGTTACAATCCGCCTTGCTCATAAGAATCCAAAATATTTGTGAGGCTTCCAGGCCCTTCCAGCAATGTGGTCGAAGCAGGGAGCATTGCACGTTTGTGCCCGGGTGGTTGGGCATGCCTAACCAATTCGGTCCCAGGCCACTGTCTGAATCGGGCCTGGTTGCAGACACTTTGGCCGAGACAAACTCGGTCTCACGCGGGCGTAGCAAAGGAAGCGCCCGCCTCTTTCCATATAGGAAAGGGCAGGCCACTGTCTGAATCGGGCCTGGGCACAGACACTTTGGCCGAGACTGAATCTNGGCCTGGGCACAGACACTTTGGCCGAGACTGAATCTACTGGAAACTCGGTCTCACGTGGGCATAGCAAAGGAAGCGCCCGCCTCTTTCCATATAGAAAAGGGCAGGGCGCAGGGGAAGACATTGGGGCACTTGCACTTGCGGGCGGCAGCGCTGCTGGAGCTTAGACTCGAGGGCTGCTTGCTGGAGGATACAGGGCGCTGCTGAGGGCAGTGCCATATCCCAGCCTTCATAACCAGGCTGGGACTTGGACACAGTCAGCGGGTGGTGCTGATCTTCGTGTATGAGGGAGAAGACATGGGTGATGAAGTCAAGTTTGACACAGAGAGAGAGAGAGATGAGGTTGCTGATGTAAGGGCACGTACCTGGTCTTGATGATGGTCTACACGGGTTGATATCTTCATGTACTTTGGTTCTGCTGCTGATGTCAACAGCATGCATTGTCAATTCGTAGGCTGCTAGTAGCTGTGTAGACGTACTCTGGGCGCTGAGCGCCAAGTAGGAGGAAGGACTCTGGATACATATGTTGGTGGTGGCGAGATTATGCTCTCATTGACATTCGGATTCAGTTCTTTGTTTCTCCGTTGGTGGAATATCAGTGCATTACTGCTTTCTGGACAGCGTTTGGACTTGCGGCTTTCAATGTGATTTTGCACTCTGGAATTCTGTCATTTCGCTATATCTCATTTTCCTTGCAATTTGGTATCGGCGCTGGTTCAAGCCGCTCCGCTGGCTCCTTCGCAATAGCCGTTTGGTGCTTCGCTGGATATGGTGGGGCAGTGATAACGCTTGTGCGTTGGGTAGTGACAGCGCCCCAGTGTCGTGTGGGCACGCCAGGAAGGTGACATAGGCGTGCACACTGAATGATGAGAGCTTGCTGATGTGGCAATGTAAGCCAAGGTGGAACTGCATTGCATTGTGGGTTGTGCCGAGGCATCGACCGGTCATCATAAATGCACATCAGGTTACTGGTGAGAAATCTGTGGTTGGGGGCAGCATTATGAGGTATGTTGCTCCTTACCTTATCTACCCTCTTCCTTACTTCTTACCATGAGGAAGTGAGTCCTGTCTTGAGAGTCCTCTCATTGTGAGGTGTCGTGAGCGCTCAACGTTGAGAGTCGACATTCCTCCTGGGGAGCAAGCTGGTGGGAGACGTGTGTTGCCTCTGAAGGGCCCCGGACGAAACACTTGGGTCACGGTCACCATGCCAACCTGCTGGGACTAGTACACGCATGCTTTGCCGCTTGTCCTTTGTTCTGCTTGCTGCGCTATAGAGGGAACGTGGACTGACCAGTCCTATGCGAGACGTCTACCAGACCGTCGTCTATAAATTACTTCTGGCGGGATCTGATATGAATACTAGCTGTGATCGTCGTCCTATCTGCAACGTTAAATAATTCCTGAGGACCTTGGGGGCTGTCGTTAAACTGCCTCTTGATCAGCCAGATCAATCGGATGGAAGGCTCGTTGCACGCGAAGATAAATAATAGGCAGAACTGGTCATAAGCAATTTCTTGCGCACAGGGGTGGGCCGATTGCACACCTTCAGACACACCGCTGAACCAGAGCTTCAGGGCGTTGACATCAAGTGACTATTCAAGAGGGATACAGGGGGAGGGAAGATTCCAGTGAACAGCTCGATTGTTTATTAATGTAGAATTCCATTCTGCAGAATCTGCATGCACAACCAGCAAATAATTCTATTTTTATTTTTGACTAGTTAGTATCAACTTAGTTGTGACGGACATGCTAACAACTGACAGACAGCTGCAGATAGGTAGTAATCATTCCTTGCTGCACTGCAATCTGTTTCAGACTAGTCAAAAGTAGGAATAAAATTGTTTGTAGGAATCTGAGATTATCTGCTGTTACTGCTTGACGACTTTCTGACAAAGCTGGACCGAACATTTATTTTATTTTATTTTAAATCGGTTGGATGCCATGCTGCGGTAGGTCCCAGTGAGGAATCTAGTACAGATCGCAGGCCACGCATAGCTCATGAGTGACAGTGAGGTTGAGGGACTAGACCAAGACCCGGAGACGTGCACTCAGTCAGCCAACCACTTTCCTAGTGTTACAACAAGGAGAGGAAAGGAGACTGCGGAGAGAAGCCAGAGAGAGGACGTCATTGCAGAGGGCTAGAGAAGCAGCAGCCAACGCCGAAAGGGCACTAGCAGCAGCATTAGCAGCAGACGCTAGAGCCAACGCCGAGGCAGCCATGGCTACCGCCTCTGCCATGTCACAGGCCTCATCTCATGCCTCTTCGTCAGGTGTCAGTCAGGGTGTGTACCAGGTTTCCGTTAGTCAGTCTGCTGGCTTGCAGGTCAGCCAGCAGCAACCCATGTCAGATGAGGATTATGAGATCCAGCAAGCGGATGCTCTTTACATAGAGTTACAGCGCCAGCTGCAGGAAATAGAGGGAAGGAGAGAGAGAGAGAGCTAGGATTAAAAAAGCCAGATTAGAGGCGAGGGGAGAGGAGTCAGGCAAGTTGAAGCTATAGATGAGTCGACTCTTGATCCTGTAGGGCTGTCCTTTCGGAACTCCCTGTTGAGTGCAGTCGATGTGCAGACATGCACAGTTATTTACGGACACATAGTAAAGACACATACTTTCTATGACAGGTTCCTGGAAGCATTGACGACACATGGCATGTTGCTGACATGTCAGTAGTATGGAAGGCTGACGTGCACAGTTATTTAAGCATGGCAGATCAAGGCCACAACGGTGCAATGACTTTCTGGTTCCAGGTCGCCTGTAGCCTATCTCTGACGAGGCTGTACTCTAGGTAGGGACAAATTCGTAATTTTGTTTGGCTGAGGACTAACCGAGAGACCTGCCTGTATGGGAAATTCGTGAGGGACATATCTGTAAATATAGAAATATGGGCCCTTGTACTAACTCGATTTTCCTACAGCTACCCTAACTGCCAATAGCAGACCCGGGCAACCCCTAGGACAGACAGGCCCTATGGGCCTATGCT